TCTAAGTACATTATTTACTTCTAATGAAAGCTACGTCTCAAATGCGCCGATGAATATAACAACATAAATGACTGATCTTTAGAAAAGTGCAGTTCGACTATATTATTACAAAACGCGAAACTTCGTGTGAAATGGATAATACCATCCAAGATTACATATCAAATGAAATTTTGGCAGCATAATGATATTTAGGAATATTGCACCTGACCAAAGGAATGCTGAGGGTTTCAACACGACTGAACATAGCATCATAAATGAATCATTCTAAGGGTCCAGTTTGAATATGCTGTTTCGCCACACAAAGTAGGTTAAAGTTAATTACATCATCAAAGATCATATAGCAAATGAAATCTTCGTAGCATAGCGATGCTTACGTACATTCTAGACGTCGAAACAAAACCTTCATGATACGAATGTTACTGAAGATAGCAATATTAATGAATGCCTTTGAAGAAGATCCAGTTCAAGTATATTATTTTTGAATGTTAAACAACACATAAAGTTGATAACGCCAATGAAGATCACATATCAAAAGAACGTTTCACACTATAGTAATGTTTAGGTATATTTCTTGCTATGAAAGACAACTTGAAGACGATGACATGATGGAAGCTATCATGGTGAAGGTATGTCTTCCAGGAAGATTCAGTTCGAGTATATAGTGCTAAATACGTGACAATGGCCAAAGTTTATGACGCTATGGAAGCTTACACATTAAATGAATTTTTTGTACGATAGGAATATTTAACTACATTGCTCACTCCACAGCAATGTTTCGCACCAGCAACATGACTGAAGAAAACAGAATGAATGAATCCGCATAAAAGTTCAGTTCGGTTATACTCTTGCTCGCCGCAAAACAATATGTAAAATTGATGACGTGATTAAAGATCCTATGTCAAATGAATTGTTGCACCATTATGATGTTTAACTATACTACATCTTTCGAACAAACATTTGACCATAGCAAGCTGAATGACGCTAGCACGATGAATGAATGCACCTTAAAAGGGTATCATCCCAGTATATCAGTGCTGAACGCAAAAAATATGTGAAGCTGACGGAACCATCCATGACTACGTATAAAACGAAATATTTGCACCACACTGATGTTTAACCATATTGCTCACTAGGAAAGAAATCTTTTATGCTAACAACACGATCAAAGATCACACGATGAATGAATGGTTTTAAGTGCTCAGTTCGAGTATGTTGTTTCTGAATGCGACGTAAAGTGTCAACTGGGCGACGTCATCAAAGATCACACACCAAATGAAATGATCGCACGATAGCGATATTTCAGTATACTATTCATTTTGAAGGAAATTTTCATGATGATCATGTGACCAAATATGGTATGATGACTGAATTCTGTTAAGCAGCCAATTCGACAATGTCATTGCTGAATGTTAAACAATGTTTAGCGTTGCTGCTATCAGCCATGATCACATATTAAACGAAATTTTTGTATTAGAATGACGTTTGACTATATGACATCTTCATACGAAAATTTGGCTCGGATAACATGGATGAAAATAGTAAGATGAATGAATACACTTCATAAGGATACAAGTCGAGTATAATAGTTCTCAATTCGAAGTAGTGACTAAAATAAATGACATCATGAAAGATTACATACTAAATGAATTTTTTGCACCATAATGATATTTAGCTGCATTGGTCAGTTCGAAGAAACGTTCCACGCAAGCAACATGTTCATAGATAACAGGATGTATGAATCTTCATAAGAATTCAGTTCGTCTATGCTCTCTTTCATTGTGAAACAATATTTAAAGTTGGTGACGGGAACAAGAATCACATGTAAAATGAAATCATCACATCATAGCGATGTTTCATTATATGTCCCACTGTGAAGGGAAGTTTCATCATAGCAACATGAACGAAGGTAACACAATAAGTGAATCCTCGTAAGGGTAGAGTTCGCGTATGTTAATAGTCAATGCAGCACAATTCTACACTTGATGACACCATCGAAGATTACATATCAAAAGAAATCTTCGCATTATAGCGATGTTTAAATGTATTGCTCATTTTGCAACAAAGCATTGATGTTGCTACAAAAGATAAATATTGTACATCAGATGAATGAATGCAACAACTAGATAGTCTTTCCAGTACATTTCTAATTGAGAAGCAAAACGCTACACCAATGACATGATCGATATTCAGATAATAAATGAATGATTCTGACAAAACATCTGTCTTAGTATCCTGCTCGCTTCCTAAAAAACTCTGGAAGGCGTTGGCATGATGGAAGATAACATGATACCTAGATTCTTTTCAGAATAGATCCGTTCAAGTATATTATTGCTCAGTCTGAAACAATGTCTAAAGTTGATGCCATCATCGAAGATCACATATTAAAAGAAATCTAGGGACCATATTGATGTTGAAGTAAATTTCATACTGCAAATGAAAGCTTAAAAACATTGAAGAAATAGATGATAACATGGCGAATGCATGTTTTTTAGAAGGGTTCAGTTCGAGTATATTATTGCTGAATGTCAAACAGTGTCTAAAGTTTATGCCATCATCGAAGATTACATACTAAATGAAATTTTCGCACCATGATGATGTTCAAGTGTATTTTGTACTCCGAACGAAAACTTTCAGATGCTGATGAAATCGACAATAACATGATAAATGACAGTTCTGCAGAAATGGGAAGTTCAAGTATACTTTTGCTCGGTGCGAAGTAATCTCTAAAGTTGAGGACATACTCAAAGATCACATGTCATATGAAATATGTGCACCATAATGATGTGACAATATATTTCTCGTTTTGAGACAAAGCGTTGACGCAGAAGAAAAAGGTCAACATTGTACGGCATCAGAATGATATCAACAGATAGAATCTCATTGGAATATATTTCTAACTGAGATGGAAGGCTTCATGTTGATGATATGGTCAACGAAATTGTATGATAAATGAACAATTTTCACAAAGCGCCTGTTTGTGTGTGTGATAACCTCGGAAAGAAACGTGGGAATGGTTGACGCGATCAAAGAGAACATGATAAATACATGCTCGTTAGAAGGTTTTAGTTCGAATATATTATTACTAAATATGAAACAATGTGAAAAATTGATAAAATCACAAAATATCACATTGAAAGTGAAGTCTATATACCATAGAGATATCTAAGTATATTACTCATTTAGAAAAAAAGCGTTCACGTGGCAGAAAAAGGTAATTATTGTGTGGTACGTGAATGAGTATAACAACTAGAATGCCGATGGATTATAGTATTATCTAAGAAGAGAAACTTGATGCTAGTGATGCATTATAGGACCAGATGATAAATGAATAGTTCTTACAAAGATCATGTCTTAGCATGTTGCTCAACTTAAAAAAAAGCTTAAATATGTCGATGTAAGCGAGGATCACATGGTATATGCATACTCTTTATCAAAGTTCAGTTCGGGTATATTGTTGCTCAATGGAAAACAATGTACAAAGTTTATGGGATCATTGAAGATTACATGTCATATGAAATCATCTCACCATTAAAAGATTTTAGTATATTGTCTCGTTTGAAATAAAGCGTTCTAGCGGCTGAAAGGGGTAAAGATTCTATGGCAAATGAATGATTGTGACAGTCATGATTTTCTTCGAATATATTTCTCATGGAGAAGCAATATTTAATGTTTTGATGACATAGTTAATGATTAGATGACAATTGAATAGTTCTTACAAAACTTCTGTCTGAACATTTTGGTCGCTTGACAGTAACGAGTGAAGGTGTTGATATGATCGAAGATAGCGTGATTAATGTACAGTCTGGAGAAAGATCTCGTTCTAGTATATGGGTGTTCAATACGAATCGAAGTCTAAAATTGTAGACATGATTGAAGATCGCATATGAAATGAAATCTTTGCACCATAGTGATATTCATATTTATTGCTCATTTTAAAAAACTGCACTGTAGCTACTAGTAAACGTAGACATTTTGTGATACATGAATGAGTGTAACAAGTAGGACGTTGTTCAAGTCTATGTTTCTGTGAGAAGCAAAGCTGGATTTTGATTCAGCGATCGCTGATGCGATGGCAAGTGAATATTGCTTACAAAGTTTCTATCTTACCATATTGATGACGTTAAAAAATAGTTTTTGCCACTTAACGTAAACGAAGATAACATAAAAGATGTATGCTCTTCAGTAGGGTGGCGTTGGGCTATTCTGTTTACTTTAAAGGAAAGTCTGAACGTTTTTATTTGATTTATAATGAGATGGCGAATGAGTGTTTTTAAGAAGGACCACATTCAAATATATTGCTGTTTACAAACGATAATTTCAAGCTGTTTATTTGATTGAACATGACGTGACGAATGAACTCTCTTCAGAAGGGGCAGATTCAAACATTTTCCTATTTGTGAAGGAAAGTGTGAAGTAGATTACTCTGATTGAATATTATGCTATACATGAAATTCTTACACCATAGTCATGTTGCACTATGTGGTTCATTTTGAACGAAAGTGTTGTTGCTGCTAAGAACCAGGACAATTGCATGTGAATATGAATGAAAGTAACAAAGATTACGTTCTGCCATAGTGTTTATTTTAAAATTAGAGACTGAAATTGATCATGTGATCGATGACCGCATGGCAAGTGAGTACTTTTCATTAGTGTATCATTCGATTATACATTTTAGTCTCAAGCAAATCTTTAAATTGGTGATATAAGCGAAGAGAACATGGTGAATGAATATTCTGGATGAAACTGCTTTACTAAAATATGGTGCATTTAGAGACTAGATTGTATGATTCAGAAATAGGTTTAGAATCACGTGAAAGAGGAATGATTTCGACAATCATCATTCTGTGTAAATATATTGTCACCACGAACTGAAGACTTATAATCTTCCAAGTTCCTTAAATATTGCATGGCATATGCGTGTCTACAACAAGGATTCAATTTCAGTATTTTAGACATTTCGATGACATAATCTATATGCATTTTTACCCGCTACATGTACATCACAAATGAACAAAATTTAGGTGATGGAGTTGTTGTCGTTGTTGTTGAAGTTGTTGTTGTTGTTGTGGATGTGGTTGATGTAGTACTAGTAGTACTAGTGGAGGTACTGGTAGTTTTTGTTGTTGTAGTTGTCGATGTAGAAGTAGTACTAGTAGTACTAGTTGTTGTTGTCGAAGTTGTTGAGGTGGAAGTAGTAGTAGTAGTAGTTGTTGTTGTTGTTGTTGTCGACGTAGTGGTTGTTGTAGTCGTGGTTGTAGTAGTAGTCGTGGTAGTTGTTGTTGTTGTTGTTGTTGTTGTTGTAGTCGTGGTAGTTGTTGTTGTTGCTGTTGTTGTAGTAGTGGTCGTTGTCGTAGTCGTGGTTGTAGTCGTGGTTGTTGTAGTCGTGCTAGTTGTTGTTGTTGTTGTTGTTGAAGTTGTTGTTGTTGTTGTTGAAGTAGTAGTTGTAGTAGTAGTCGTTGTTGTAGTAGTTGTTGTTGTCGTTGAGGTGGTAGTAGTGGTTGTTGTTGTTGTTGTTGAGGTAGTACTTGTTGTTGTTGTCGTTGAGGTAGTACTTGTAGTAGTCGTTGTTGTTGTTGTTGTGGTGGTAGAAGTAGTACTAGTTGTTGTTGTTGTAGTCGTTGCACTTGTTGTTGTTGTTGTTGTTGTTGTTGTGGTTGTTGTTGCTCTATTCATAGTAGTAAAAAAGACCACCAATGCAGCAATACCACTACAAACACACAGGAAACAACACAGAGAAAGAAGTAAATACAAGCTTGTTCGTCGACGACTAATGATATAAAGATAGTTATTTTCGATATTCTTACATAACAATAAAAAAATCTAAGGCTTCCTTACAATTTCCTTTTCCTTTCGTTTGATTTTTCCTGGTGTTTGTTGTTGACGTTCTTTGAACTAAACCATGTATCGGTTGATTTCGTTATATCCAGTATCGGTCTGACAGATGTTGACCTGATTTTCCAGGACAATGGAGACTTTCCATTTTTGTAAAGCTAAACGATAATGAACCATGAATTTTAAAGCAATATTGATATCTTGATAACTTTCATGACGGCAATTTCAAAAAGAAAACAAAACGATGAAAGTGGTGTTTGCATAAGAATCTGTAGAAGTTGTGCTGAGTTGAAGTACTGAAATGTCACACTAGACGCATTCGCAAGAAATGTGAAGGATGTTGATCTTTTCATCACAGCTACACTCATACCCCACAACCACTAGCCATGCATCGAACCCAACCTACCCGGATTTGATACTACCCCCATGCAATCACAAAACGCATTTTAGACGCAGTTAGATGCGTTTATGTTGCAAAATTTGGCGTCCTGATGCGTTTCGGTATCGAGTTACATAAGTTGTGGAGTCATTAGACGCGCGATGCTCAAGCATACCCTAGGTTGAAAGTGGATAGGCTTAGCCTACCCTAAGCTGGAAGTGGGTAGACATTGATAGACTGAAACTGGAACAGATAAATGTTTGGATAGGTTGTTACATGCAAAATGGTTTTATTCTTGTTTAGTTTCGGGGCTTTTCTAACAAATAACACATTATTAGAAGATCATTTAATATTTTCTGTACTAGTAACTCGTTCGCAGTGAAGTATTAGTTGAAGTTTTTTGGCATTAAAATTGACAACCAATTCGTAATTCTTAATTTAAGATAGCTGACTTGTTTCTGTAACTTCTGTTTAAAATTACTTTTAAATCTTAGACACTCGAATAACATTACTTGGGCCGTGCAGAAATGCGAGCTAAACAAAAAAGATTAAAAGACAATCAAAATCGTATGCTTATAGTTGACACTTAAAGTGCTTTTAGTCGATTTCAGTCTGACTTCAGCTCTCTTTTTTTTAATGGTGAAACTTGATTTGTCCAAAACGTTGAGCCTATCCTAGATCGAAATCGCTCAGCCATCTATGTCGAGTTATGATAAAAAAAGCAGATAAAGGCCTTTGTAATTATCTTTTTAAACGCGTTTAAAGAACTTCGACGAGTGTGTTAGCCGTTAATCAGAGCAAACGCATACGAACGCATTTAAATTATTATCTTAAATCGCGTGTGAACGCAATCTGTGTCTTTTCTTGTGTTAGATCATGTATCACAATTGAAATGCAATTTATTTGCTATCCAATAAACGCCGTAAAATCGACAAAATGGATAAAACGTGTTTCATGGAGATATGATTGAGTTTATGAAATGTCGAAAACGCGCTTCAGTACACACCCTTTCCAAAACACAACTGAATTCATAGTTATATAGTCAGTACTATCAATGAAGAGTGATCAAACATGCAGCAAATCTAATATTTTTGGTTTTGACGTTTTCGTTTTCATTTTGAAATACATCGAAAAAGATTATATTTCCAAACTAAAACCAAAACTTCAAAGCTAGTTTTGATTTTGGTTCATGCCTAAGAATGACAGCTATCGAAATCGGCATTTATAAAAAAAATAGACTTGAGTAAAACGGAGTTTGTGCTAGTTAAAATGCCACATTGCACTAGGATCAAAGTCTTTGTGTTATATTTCGTCTTTGGAAACTGTTAAGTAAGAAAGAAATATATTTAGTTTTATTGAATACGCATATGATGTCCATGATATTTTTTCTTTTGAACTCTAAAATTCGGTCTTCGTTAATATATTGAGGATTGCATCAAATAAGGTTTGGTTTAACAGATTGATTTTATCAAATGAGTATTTCCGTGATCATGAATTTCTATTCGAAAGTTTTTATTGAAAATATTAGGCTATAAATACAACTGTATGCTTCTGTTTCCTTAAACTCGGAAGTACTTTCTGTTGTGCGCACGATAAATTATTATCTTGACATTATCGTTAGGGTTTTCATCATCACTATCGGAAATAACTAAGTAAACTGGATGCATATTCTGTTTTTACTTTCAATTGCTTTTTTAATAAAAATTGCACAAAAATGTTCTTTGGTGCAGAATTTAGTATAATTATCTTTATTGTTCCTGATAATGAACAATGCATTGAAGTAAAACTTATTTTATGAAGTTAAGGAAAACGAAAATAAACGCATCGTAACTATTTAAAAAATTGAAACAAACAATTTTTTAAATATTTTAATTCAAATATCGATCAATATTCTATTCTAAAAAAACAAATTAAGCAAGTTCAAAAAAAATTCTGTATACTATAAGATCATTCATTCTATTTCCGATGGATGATTTAAAAGATAACAGTGTGACGGTTACGAGAAAATACACAGACAAAATTTTTTAATTTTATGTGTTGTAATATATGGTTCTCATTGTCTATAAAAAATAGTTTTTATAGTTTTATTTTACTGATGTAAAAAATGTTAATTAATATTATTACACTGCGTATATGTACATTTATACCCTAAAAAGACAGATATATTTGTTTTTCTTAATTTTTTCAGTAACCAAAATTCTGAGTATTTTCCCACTGTTGTTTCATTGATAAAAAGAATGACTCATATTGATTTCATTAAAATAAATATCCTAACTATATTTATTTTACAAAGCAAGATAAGTCGACATCTCTATTCGTAAAATTATCGAAGGCACTGTAAAACGATTAATTCATGTGATTCATGAACATAATAACAATATCCAGCAATGTATGTCTCAGACGTTATCGTTGGAAAATTACCACTCTGTTGCTCATGGTATTTGGGTGTTATATCATAGCTTAATATGATGCATCGGCTCAATTTTGACACAGAGTAATGGTAATTTTTAATTTTTTTGGGAGAAAAAAGTAAATGCATTTGCTTTTGGATGCGCTCGCACGCTTAAAAATGTTGCATTTTGGACGGATCCTAACACGTCTTCAAATGCAAACTAGCTTTGATACGTTTAGACTCTGAACGAGTGTAGACGCGTTAGGTTACCCTGGATGCGTCTGCGCCCCAAAAATGTTGCATTCTAGGTGCGTCCAGATGCGTGAAGTGCCATCGCTCACAAACTCTCAGAGACGCGTTACGACTCGAAAAAACGTTACATGGACCGGTTTCGGTCATACCCAGATTGGATAACGGGATTCCTGTGTCTACTTATTTGTATAATTTGGAGCATAGAGATGAATAATAAATAGTACCTATAGATAGATAATAGGAAAGGATTTTACTTCAAAGGTTTATCGTTTCTTCATCAATCTATCATAGATAATCTTATTTATTAGGAAAGCACACAATTAAATGAGTTTTTCTTAATATTCCTCTTGGACTCAACTACTGGAAATCGTCGAATGGTTCTCCTTATTGAAATGATTCTTCTGGTAGTCTAAGTAGGGCTGTGAGAATTCGAGTACTACCAATACCAATACAATTCAGTATTAGTGGTATTAATATTAGTATTATTAGTATTGATATTTTTAGTAGGCCGATGAGGAAAAATCATACATCTGTATTTCCTGAAAATTTAATAAGGAGAACCATTCGACGATTTATTGTAGTTGAGTACAAGAAAAATATTAAGAGAAACACTTTTAGCTATATCTGTTCCTGATTAATGAGATTAACTATGAAAAGCTGTGCAAGACAAAGGATCTTTGACACGAACTCATCTTTTACCACCTATTATATATTCATAGGTGTTATTTATTATTCATTTCTATGCTTCGAAGGATACGAGTAAATAAACCTGAGAATCCCAGGACCGAATTTGGGTATGATGAAATCCGAGTAGTATCGAATACTGGGTATGACCGAATCCGGGTAGTACTGAGCTGAACTACCCGGTTTGTACCCGGGTTTGGTACATGCCTAACAGCCACATCCACCAACACCCCAAATTACTAGTGAAGATAATGTTTAAAGTTTGGTGCAAAATTTATATAATTCTAAATTATTTGGTAATTCACTTTCGTTATGGAGTAGTGCTTTTTCATTTGAAACACTCCTACGAGAACTTGACAAATCCGTGCAAAATATTCAGCAAACAGTGTCCGATTAACAGTACAATTGTTAGCCGGGGGAAATGAGAGCTGTCATGTATCGGGAATGTCGGGGATGCTGGAGAAGTAGCACGAGATACGATAGATGTCAAACCGATTGGAGTATATCACATAGTTATTATAGCCAAAGCCATATATCTACAGTATAACCTCTATTAGTGAACATCCCTCCTAAGTGATCAACCTGTTGTACTGAATACCTACCGATCCGACCGACTGAATTTTGCTGGTTTTGACCCCCTCCTTTATGATTACTTTGGCATTATGAATGTGAACGCTTTTTTCAGTCTCTACTACGTAAATGAACCCTCTAGACTACGTACGATCGTAGACAGTGCCATCTATCACTGAGTTAAAGCTATGCATTCAATTGACTCATTCTGTGATTGGTTATAAAAACACGAGGAAACGTCCAGATATCTCTCGGTGCTATCTCCAATATCTTGAAACGCAAGTGTGAATCTCTAAATGATTATGAAATCAAGCGAAATAAAAAAATAAAGAGTAAATCTAACAACGATTTAAGTCAAGCAATCAATGATAATGTCTGCGAGTGGTTTGTTGCTCAAAGAGGAAAAAATATTCCAATTTCTGACCGTATAATTCAAGAGTATACTAGACAAATCGGCAAACAATTGGATCCTTCGAATGAATTCAAAGTGAGTGATGGATGGCTTGATGGATTTCGCACACGTTATAACACAAATTTTCGGGTTATTTCTGGTGAAAGTCGAGCAGTTAATCAAGACATAATTACTGATTGGAAAACTCGATTACACAATACTATTGAACATTATGATCCTGTCGAAATATTCAATTGTGATGAAACTGGACTTTTTTACAAGCTGATGCCTGATCGATCGTTAACTGTAGACAAAAATGATTGTAAAGGAGGGAAAAAATCAAAGAAACGCAATACCGTGATGTTGGGCACTAATTGGGCCGGAAATGAAAAGTTAAAACCAGTTGTCTTTGCTATGTTAGTCTTCATCAATTTTTCTTTGATAGTAGCTCTCTTTTTATTCATGTTGTAGGTAAATCAGCCCTGCCCAGATGTTTCAGAAATATTGACTGGAAGAAGTTGCTCGTCTTATGGCACAGCAACCGTAGCTCGTGGATGACTTGTAAAATTTTTACTGAATGGTTGCAAGATCTTGATTTGATTATACGGAAACAAAAAAGACACATTCTACTCTTCCTTGACAATGCACTAGTTCATTCTCCAGATGTACAATTAGAAAATATCAAATTAAATTTTTTTCCACCAAATACGACAGTAAAGATTCAACCAATCGACCAAGGAGTTATTCGAGCATTCAAAGCTTATTACCGACGTCATCTAGTCAAGCAATAAATCGCCAGTGCTGGTGTTGCTGTGACAGCCGACGATATTAATATCACTGCTTTAGATCTTGTCTATTGGGTTCAGGGCCGATATGGCTGAATGGTTTAGAATGTTCGGCACATATCCACAAGATAGTGTGTTTGAACCTCGGCGCCATCATCCATAGAATAACCTTGGACAAGTTACTAACGGCTGTTTTGTCTCGGATCACTCATTCGATAGCACGCTGATTACATTGTGACATACATAAAAATATCCTCATGGATAGTATGTGGTTAGTCAGTATGCATGGGAAGCTTAAGTAGTTAAGCGGAAGGAACTCTGAGTCTGGTCGGCCTTCTGTCCAGAGCTGCAGCTAGTAATAGTTGTAGGGAAAATATCGGGCTTTTGAAATTGTCTCCGGACAGCATCCTATACTGAAAGGTAGCCGCAAGGCAAGAGTATTCTTTCTTTCTTTCTATTGGATTCAAGGCGCATGGTAAGTAGTGTCAGAAGGAACAATAAGGAACACATTCAAATCAGTCGGTTTTGAAAAGCTTTCTGTTATCGATGGAATCGATGCATTACAACAAATTTCAATAATAGATGAAACTATTTTTACAGACGATAGATTGATTGAAGAATTAGATGGAGTATTGAGACATTTAACCATTGGTGGAAAACCAATGTCTGGCTATGATTATGTGGTGAGATGCGACAGAGACATTTTGAAAAAATTTTTCTTTTTTTCGTTTCACTGTTTTAGAGTATTGATGATAATGCTCCATCATTTAACGAATGGGATGATTCGAATGATAAATTATTAGTAATTAACGGAACTATCAATGATGATGCGAATAGTAATGAAGATCAACTGAACGACGATGTTCCAAGTGAAAATCCACCTTCCTTATCTGAATGTTTAGACCTAGTTCGTCGTCTGCGCCTTTTCTCCACAATGCAACAACCAGAATTTCATTTGTTCATTATTGAATTACAGTCTAAACTAACTGATGCACTCCTCGATTCTAATTTATCAAAACAAAGATCTGTTCTGGATTATTTCAAACATGTACTTGTTTAATCTTATGAATTTCTTGTTAAATAATTATTTTTTATATAAACAAATTACAACAGCTCATCTGAAGTGAACTAATAGTACCATTAAATTCGAAAAATCTCGATATTTCTACAGAACCCCTCCTTTGTGATCACCCTGCTAATTTGAACGATTTTTGAAAGTACCGACAGTGTTCACATAACAGAGGTTTTACTGTATATATATATAGATATACAGTGACACTCACATAACCTTCCACCGTACCCACACGCAGCTCAAGATGCGGTATATCTTGTATAGTGACGTTGCTCCTCCAGCACGCTCAATTTTCTGGCTCTATAACACTGCTTTTAATTCAATGATTTGTTCTCAAAATGTAGTCATGGCAACGGACTGATTCGCCATGACCGTAAATTTTACGGATCTTTCTAAATACTCAATAAATGTTACTGATTTATTTTTTTTACTGTGTGTTCCATTGAACATTTTCAAACAATTGTTACTATCGGATGTGTCGGAATGAAAAAATTGAAAATCTTCTACTGAGCACGGCCTAATGATTTAGGCGGTGGCTTACGTGCCGATACTGTGGGTGTTCAGGAGTGCCCTGACGTGGCAAAACTTGGAGAGGGTTGACAATTTCTGAAAAAAATATCATGCATTACCGAACAAAGAAACGGAAATTTTTCGGAGATGGGAGCATCACCCCGTCACTAGGAACATTTCTGCGGTTATCGAGTGTGGGTGTGGGTGTGCGCATGGCTGTGACTGTCATGGAGAGAGCCACACTCACACCCACCCCAAATTCTTTTAAAATTATGTTACCTTTTTATTGTCAATAGGAGAAATTGTTTCATGCAGACCAGTGATGGATGGAGTGCCAGTTGCCAGCGAGAAAGACTCCTATAAAAAAAGATTTAGAATATTGTCTCTTGCATAGGTTTCGGAGAACAATCTCAAAAATCTCACAGGAGTTTCTAGTAATCGATCACCAAAACGGTGAAAAACTTGCATGCCGTAGAAATCTTGTAATGACGAACTTTGAATGGAGAGCATCGGTGGTGACCGATTTTCGGAACGACGAGAAAGTTTCATTACACGAACTCCTTTTGGTGACCATTTTCGACCGGGTAGCACTGTTTGTGATCGATTGCCAGAACGACGAGAAAGTCTTGTAACATTTATTGGTTGTAATGACGAACTTCGAATGGGAGGTGCCTCTTCTGGCTGATGACCGGAGTGACGAGAAAGTCTTGTAACATGGATTATTTTTGATGACGAACTTTGAATGGGCAGTGCCTCTTCTGATTGATGACCGGAGTGACGAGAAAGTCTTGTAACATGGATTGATTTTAATGATGAACTTCGAATGGGCAGCATCATTTGTGATCAATTCGTTTCTACTGTATTTGTGTTTTCAACTCCAATTATTAACAGTCAGAGATGTGTGATGCTAGTGGAGTGTGTGTTTTTTTTGTAAAGGAATGATTGTGCACACTATCCTTCGCTGATGCCGTATATATATATATATTTTTTTTGCATTACATGGCAGCCAATCAAAAAGACCTCATATTGTTTTTTTCTCAGTGAATTTACAGTCTTCTACAGTGGAATGCTGTATTACAAGATGCCGGAAAGGCTTCGAGTTCATTTGAATAATATTGAAAAGCCATGGCTTCATTCTCAATCAGAGAAATAATGAAAAACAGTGTGTTGAAGTTGAGTGTGTTGTGAAAATAACATTGATGACTGTCATAATTTTTTTCATTCTTTTGCTCTCTTCGCACCAGATGACTATGCGTAACTCCATGGGATTTCACCAGGTCGATCCGGGTAACACCTCCAAATGTGCTGAAACGTTCAGGGTTTGCTCAGTTTTTTCCGCTGATCATTTTGGTATAACATTTGTTGGGATTTAATGCCATTTTCATATACTTATGAAAGAAATACTTTTTATGTTATTTTGAATTTTTTCGTGATTAAAAAACCTGCAGCATTTCGAAAAAGCTGTTAGCACAATCCCTTTGGGATCAAAGTGTGAAACACGATGGAACTTCTTTTCTGGAACTCGTCTATTACTATCACTGGTGGTCTGTGGAGCTTCTCTATTACGGTCTGTATTATGATGTACGGAGTCTCTAGAAACCATCACAGACCGGGACAGAGACCTCAGGAACTATCACAGACCCACTGGATGACAAAAATGAATTACAAAGTAATTCTAAGATATGAATTACAAAATAGTTCAAATTCAGTTGCTGTCTTTCAAGTGACTAAGCAGGTACTAGAAGGTACTACCAGGTACTGCCAGGTGTGGGTGCTGGTGCTGGTGTGTGGGGGTGGGTATGGGTGTAATTGGTCCCTAAAGTGAAATTACACCCACACCCACACCCTCAAGGTTTGAAAAATCGGGTATTTCTTGTGATGCTAGCGTTGAAATTGAATCTAGATCTATTGCACAATTTATATAATAGGAATATGTAAACATACAAAGTAAAAATATATGAGTTCTTGTATTCCAATTTAAATAACATAGCCTTTCTTTTTACGATTGTCCATTCATGTTCCAAGTCGAATTCGGCTGCTACCAATCTTCTAGTACCTTCTAGTACCTGGTAGTACCTTCTAGTACCTTCTAGTAATAACTGATACATGTATTAGTTGTATGTGTAAATTTTGAATTATTTTGTAATTCATTTGTGTCATGAAGTCCACAGACCGGGGCAGAAACCTCAGCAACTATCACAGACCGGGACAGAGAAATTAATTAATTAATTAATTGATTAATCAGCTAACTAATTAATTAATTTCTCTGTCCCTGTCTGTGGGGGGGGCGGGGGTGGGTCCAAATTTCTACCCTATATACTTCAATACTCCTTTCAGATCTTGTTTCACAAAATCGATATTACTACATCAATATTTTATAAAATTTGAAAACCAATTATATATTCAGATTCAGCGTAAAAATCTGTATCAGAATCCTTAGGAATCTTAAAATGTCTGCTTATTTTGATGGACAGGCTCAAGGACGCTCTTGTTTTCAGTGACAGCTTTTTTATGAAAAGCTATTTCAAAAATGTTACTATAGGAGTTGGAATTATCCAAAAAAGTGGCGTTAGCCATTCGACAAAGTAAAGTTAACTCTACAACATGCAATAGTTGGTTTTCTTTCCCTGTTTAATTCTGGTGGGGAAAAGTGAAAAACTATTTTTGACTGCAATTTTTGATGAACATGCTCGTTATATTTAATCACTAACGATAATAATACCCTACAATTTATTGTGACTATCAAGGTATGTAGAACTTGCTGTGCTGATCATTTTGGTACTAAATTATTGTATATTCAGTTGCATTTTCATGAGCAAGTTAGTGAAATGAGATACACACAGATACACATGTTTTGGCACATCCTTTTTTTTAAACAAAACGAACACATAGTCACCCTTTACAATCTTTTGCGCACTTTCATTTAAGATGTTTTCATGGTTGGCTCCTGATATATTTGGCTAATTCTTCGCCAATTTTGCTTTTCCCTTTTGGATGTGTTTGTTTTGCACCGATTTTTGAGAAGCGCTTTTTGCGTTTTGACAAAACTTCATCATGGAAAGTATGTGAACACCAGATTCGCGTTCTATAATGCATATTAGCAGAGAAAAGCTGCGAGTAGGAAAAAGTAAACAATACAACGAATGAATATTGGAAATGAGAACGATGAATGATACACAAGTTTAATTCACGAACTAGTGAATATCAGTTCCCTAGACTGAAAGGATAGGGTCTAGAAACCGTAATTTACCTGTGTCGGTCTGTCCGCTTGTCTGTAACAATGGCACAAATGACCATCCCTACGGCACAAATGACCATTCTTATGGTACAAATGACCATTTTTATGGTACAAATGACAAATTTCATGCCACAAACGGTCATTTTTATGACACAAACGACTAATTATCTTGGTGCAATTGGCCATTTCTATGACAGAAACGATCATTTCCGGGGGATAAATGACCGGAGCCATGGCACAAATGATCTTTTTTGTGTACTCAAAAAGTGAGTACACTCTACGCTGTAAAAAAAAGAACCGTAGAATAGCAAACTAAAAAAGGGTTTATGAAAGTGCAACGTGTAGCAAACCCTTTTCAACCGTTTATCAACGAGTCATAAACCCTGTTATAAACTCTCTAAAAAGGGTTTAATATGGAGTTTATTATCGTTAAATATGCTTTCTGGAAGGTTTATTGAAGGGTTGATCAGATTCATAAATGCTTAAAGGGATTGCGACACGTTGCACTTTCATAAACCCCTGAAAAGGGTTGATAATTCACATAAACGTTCTCATATAACCTTCGAAACTCGGCCTAAAAGGGTTGATTAAAATGCTATACCCATGAGCCCCTCTCAGAAACGCTATTGAAAAGCGTTTATGGACATCATGAATGGTCGCCAGCGTTTGTGAGAGGGTATATAAAACCGATTATGGACCTCATAAACTGCCTGAAGGGTTTATGATAAGGTTTATGAAGGCGATTGTGGACCTCCAGTATCGTTTTCAGTGAGAATATTAGGTTAAATAGAGTGATTCAAGAGTACAATGAACTAATTTCAGGGGTCGGAGAATAATTGAATACTTTGTTTTTCACCTTGGTTGATGATAGATAAATGTCCACGAAGAGAGATATGCTGAATAATTTGTAGTTTTTATAATAATATGTATCTAACACTCCCTATCTATGGCATTTTATAATAATTAACAAGAGGATGGTAGACTCCCCGAGACTGGAAGAAACCATATCCGTTATTTTCTCTACGTTTTGAGCATCATATTTGTCGAAACTCTTACGCGATCTTGTCTTAGAATCCAATACTCACTCAGTGAGAAACGAGCAAAACGAGAAAACCCGAAACTAATTCGATCGAGAATCAAAATCTAGCATGACCACGGAAGATAAAAATCAAGATGATTAAAATGAATTGCAGGAATCTCCTTCTAGCAGCGACTAATCAATACAAACAGGATAGCTAAATTAACATAAAACTGAGGAGTGAGTAATTTAGAGGAATGATTTGAAGTAGCTGCTTCAGACGAATTTTCTGTGATGTCACGTGAAAACTTTTACTCACTTCAATTGACGTTGGCAACTTCCAATATTCTCACATAAGATATTAAGCAAATAGTATTTGTAATTCAGTACATTCTGCATTTACTTTGAAGACTTTGTTTGATGAAACCTAAACATAAAAGCGTGAGTTATTAATAGATGACGATTTTCTCTTAAAACAACTCTGATTAAATTGAAAACTTACTAGAAATCAGTACACTGCAGCTACCAATTGACAACAATCGCTGACGTGCATTATGAAACGCATCTGAAAGTTCAAAGTAACTGCCACTCAGCCATAAGCGAAACCTCTCTATTGAATCCATGATCGTAATTCCATTAATTGATAAAAGAGATCAAACGCAAAGATTTAAAAGAAAAATTATTAAAAGGTGAGCAAGAATCGAATATTAATAACATATTAAAAAGCACTCAAGTTATCAAGTATCTCGTCTGAATAAATAAAGCGTGTGCACTTTCATCGAAACTTAAATTTTACACACGAAATGTTGTTTTCAACAACATGATGCTACTGCTCATTCGCTGGGAAACTTTAGTAGAGACACTCCCCTCCCTGATACGACGGCTACTTATCATCAAAAAAAAATACACAGAACCCATCCAATTCATTGCTTCTTTCTCTCCTTCGCCCCGATCAATGGCTTGCATAAAATAATAACGTCAGCACCTTACGAAATAGTTTATAGCTTCTCTAAAAAAAAGCCAACTCAATTAGAAAAAAATATAGTCATCTTATTCTAGTTGAAAACAAGTAATATCATTCTGTAGCCATCAACTGTAAAGTACAACTAGTTGGGCAAATTATACACAATTTTGTTTACTAATATATTTGTATCAAACGGTAAAAAGACTCCACCGCCTTAAAGAAACACGAGCCTGCCTATACTTTTCTTAGGAACCAAACACAATCTCATAAAAGAACTGGCGCTTCAGCTTCAGCCGATTAGAGAAAGCGCTGATGTCTACCGATTAATTGTGAATGTAGATGTTTTGGTGATGATTTACAAAGTTCACCTTCTTTGAATCGATAGATAAAATTAATATATAAAGGGATCTGTTCACATAGGAACACAACCTTTCACTTATTTTTCGATACGGATGAAACGAGATGAAATGAAACATTATACTTAACTTATAGTGGGTCGGATAAATCTTTGACTTGAAGTAATTCATTGGGAATGAGCACACATTTGTGCTAGTTTCAATGCGCTCACTTATTTATCTAAATAAATAGAACGATTAAATGAAAATAAAACCTTTAAT